TTACGCCCAAAATATATAGTTATACTGTTAGTTGTTGCGTTCATCCCTGCAATATCGACTCACCGCCTCCTCATCTCATATACGTCATGTATACGCGGGCAATGAGTTAATATCGCATCCTCGCAGGCCTCCAACACCCCGTCCTCTCTCTTCGACCACCATAGGGCAATATAATGCCATGTAGGTACACACGCGCATACACATCCGTTCCCATCCTCTCTGACTCTGATGATCATTTCGATGCACGTACAAGCGTATATTATTGTCTCATTCGCATTATCTCCCGCCCAGTCTTTCATGTTTCGATCTCGTTGTCGTGATAACAGCACCTAATGTATTAATTTATCTTAAAGAAATCAAGTATAAAACCCGTAACTTTTGAACTGCATTTGCCATTAATTGTTATTATTGATAAATAACTCGGAGTAAAATTTGCAGTTGACTTTCTAATATTTATTTGCGAATTTCTTTATTTTTTTTTTGAGTCGTAGAGACTCCGAGACAAAAATGCAAAGACAGAGAAAGCTATAAATGTATATTGATAGCTGGAGATAAATAAAACAATTTAGAGGTGAGTGGATGGATTAGACAAATTTTGAAGGGATCAGAGCTAAAATGATTTTGCAAGTGCAGAAACATATAGAAATTTTGGACATTAAAGGTAATATATTATAGGCAGACATTGAAATCGATACTATAAAATGACTAGGCAAATATGAGAGCAAATTATCATGTAATTACAGTGTTATAAACTGATTGTGATGCATCGAAATCATATAAGTTTTCATGGACAAGCTTGAATACAATACCTATACAACAAGTTATGTGCACATGTAATTATAATATACGTCACTCCGAAAACACACTCATAGTATTTATGTGTATATATAATATATATGTGTGTGTTCACACTCTTCGTCTTCAACGTAAGGACCCACACGGTTGAAGATGCCTCTACCATATGAAGACAGTGGGTATGCAATTAAAAAAAGCATTACCCCGGCTGGTATGTCCAATGTATAGCCAAATCATGACAGTGTTTTACCAATGGATTTTTCGCTGCGCAATCATCATCACCATTATGTATATATAAAGGTATACATGCTGAAATTATGGTAAACGCCATTCCCAACATGATGTATGTGCCATGTAATATGTTCTCCGAGTGCACGTAGTACAGTGGCTCGAGTGCATGTGTACACGGGCTACTCGGATGGACGACGAAAAGAGGACAAAAATGGGGTAGGTGCACGAGGGTACGAGAGGTGTGGTAACACATGCACGTGGCATCGCCTGCATCCCTCTCATTCCACCACCCACGAAAAAAAAAAAAAAAAAAAATGGGGTGGGTGTGTGCGAATGGACCGGGTGTGCACTGCATTTATATGCACTTTCCACTCGTTTCGCGTTGCGCGGGTGTACACGCGGGGAATACATATTTATGCATACGCTTGCATATATTTTCCCGGACGCATTTTGGTACCGCTGTTGCACAGCGCGGAGGTACATCAAAAGAGGGGGGGGGGTATACGGTGCGCGACGTGCGCGTGGAGTGCATGTATGTACACGCGTATGCATATGCAGGGGAGGAGTTTTATCGAGTTGTGTCGATCATCGCGCGGAACGACGGAATTCACAAATGTGGCGTTCGCTGAGTAACGATGTACAGCGTTGGGATCATGATTATTTGGTTTTTTCGTCGTCCTTTGGACTTTCAGCCAAATGGAAATATTCGATATTTTATACACTTGTTCAAGTCATTCAAAAATTATATTATAAAAGATATCACCACATTACCATATAGTTATGTTAATGAAGTCATGCAGAATATGGCAATGAAGAAGACATGATGGATTACAGGTACGGTTATTTTTTCGAACGACACAGTATACATTTTTTTCAGTATTACTTCTGATATGTAGCAAATGAAACTTTATTTTCAATTGATACAAAACTTTAAAGAGTGTCATCGAAATTTATATATATATTTTTTTTTAATTGCATTATCGTAGCATTGATAGACGTTTTAAGAACCAATCAATACTTTGTAAGCTGTTTCACCTATTCTATTAAACCAAACTATTGTTTTTGACACGAGAAGGCTGTACAGGGTAAAACATTTCTGTCAAACTGTGACAGTTCAGTTTTTCCACTCCACAGCTTTCCTACATTGATTTTTCCCATTGAATGCAGCTGCTCTCTATAAACATCATGGAGTGATTTTAACTCGATGCAAAGTAAACAATGAACGTAGAAAAAGTCAAGGCATATAGGAGCAAGGGAAGGCGCATATTTATGTCAATTACATAGATGAGCCTTAGAATCGCATGCATATACGCATAGGTATACGTGTCATCGATTTCAGTGGAAAAAATTTCACCCTCGTATATTCCTCTCCTCTTCGTTCCTCCTCCGCTTGATTCGCTCGAAAATCCGCGAACGCGCGAGTCCCGTTCACATCCGCACGCAACACCCATGCCGGCCTTGTCAATTATAAACGGTGGCGGTCGGACAGCTCAAGCCACGAGCTCTCCCTCACCGGCTTTGGCTCACCCTCTCGCGTTTATTTGCGCGGCCATTGAAATTGCTTTGATTAAAATGTGCTGCGAGCGCGATGGGCATTGTGTACAACGCGCGTGCCGGACTCCCTGTCTTGTTTCGGGGATTTTACGCGTTTTTAATTGCCGACCGGCCAAATGCCAAGCGGACGTTCAATCATGGTCTATTACGGGGGGTTTTAATTAATTTTTTGATCCGTGGCTCGTTGCTTGGGGGTCGTTGTAAAACGTGCGCGTGATTGGAGTTGTATTTTTTTTTTTTTTTTCGTTTTCGGAATCGGTTGGATGAAATGTTGCGGAAAAACTCGCTACTACTCGTAATTGCTCGAATCGCGATGATTGAGCTTCTCATGCAGACCCATATGGGCTTCCGATGATGTTGCCGGCACCAAATTTTCAAATGACAATGTTTCTGGAAATAGTTGTGTAAGATCGCGTACAACTGCGAAACGCGTGCCGATAGGCAACGATTACAAAGTCCCCTGACTATTCCGAATGCCAGTTACGTTAGTTTATCATTATTTACTTCTGTCCCGTAAAAGTAAAAGTGCGATGGTTTAGAATGGATAAACCGTTTTACCAACAAGCTTTTCTTCTCGCGTTTTTTTTTTTTTTTTTTTTTTTAACCAAACAAGCTTATCTGAAATTTCCAAGGCACAGGTATGCCAAAGGCTGAAGAATTTTACTTTTTTTCTATTCGCAATCATTGTACTCTCAAGCCAGATTATGGCAGTGACGGAGCAATGGAATTCAGCACCCAATAAAAAAAAAAAAAGATGAAATTAGTGAGTTTGCGATCGGCAAATCCAACAACGAGCCCTTACGACCCCTAGAGAGCCGAGGGAGAAAAAAAACGACGGCAAACAGAATAAACCGGAGCTTATAAGTCACCCATAGAGATCCTGCAGGAGGGCATTAGTCGATGGTGTGCGTGATTATACGTATATATACGGTATATACAAGAGAAGAGAGGGATGAGGCAGGCCTCTCTCGTCTAGTGTTATAGGCAGCAATCGCACAAGGGCTTAATATCGGGTGCGGGAGGATAGGGGGTGGAAGCTAAGTGGCGGACCAGCTGACGCCTAGCCCCTTGCGTCTCTCCCTGTACTCGTGCGGCACACGCATCACGGCGGGAGCGCGCGAGAAGGCTCGTGTGTCTTTCGGGCGGCGAGGTTTAGCGAGGAAGGAAAGGAGAAAGAGGGGGGGGGGCTGGAGGAGAGAAGTCTGCGCTCGACACTGATTTGTGGCCTTATACGCGAGAGAGAGAGAGAGAGAGTTGTGCTTTGTAACCTTCGCTGCATAAAAGCTGGACCCCCTACCCCCTATCTTTTTATTCACCCTCCGGGAGCGGGTTTTTCTCTCTAATGAGACTTGTTTTGCGCTTTTTCTTATCTGAAAATATGTGCGGGTCTCTTGTTTTCGAGCTGCTTTCGCTTATCATGAATGACAATTGAGATTGCCACGATGGGTACCCTGTCTTGGAATTTTCGAACAGAGAGTGACAATCGATTGGCTATTGGGTTATTGGGGGAATCCGTCTTTGTTTATGGTACTGTGCATCCGTGGAACACTTTTTTCGAGAATTTGTAAGGTGGCATGGATTAAACGAGTTTCCGCGTGTATATAGTTTCGATGGAGAACATGTGTATACGCATCAGTTGATCGGTTATTTGAGGTTTTATGATTAATATCGTTACCCTCTGGAAATATTGTACCGATAAAAGCAATTTAAGCGCAGTTTTGAAGCTTTTATACGTATTTTTTGTACCTTACCGAAGGACAAACGACTTTCATCGCGTGATAAATATTTCGTTCGAAAAAATTGTGATGCTTTTTTTTTAAAGCAGCCTACACTTGTATCCAACAGTGTACCGGAGGTGATCAACGACATCTCGCAGATTTCATTGATCCGTTGATGAATTATGGATGGCTCCCGTACGATCATCCTTTTTACATCCTAAGTAATTGACAACAAAGACTTGATAAAATGTTGTTCGGTTGTTATCTATTTCTACACCTATTATTAAGTCTTGTATTGTAATTTAATCATGTTGATTGGGCTTTGTAAGACCGAAACAAGATGATGAACTTCTTTTGGTACCATGGTGTGAAAAAAAAAAAAAAAAAAAAAAAAGGTTACTTCCAGAGTAAAAGATTGAGGAGCCAATGTTTTGTCAAAAAAGTGCCAAGTAGCAAGACATCATCGTAAGCCCTGCAAGTAACGGAAACTTATCTCACGGGCATTTCTCTGCCGGTGTTGTGCTTATATACATAACGTGTGTGTAAGCTAAGGCGTTTTTTTAAATCTAGCACCGATAGGCATAGTTCCATTTACCAAATCGGCTGATTGATAAAAAAAAAAAAAAAAAAAAAAAAAAAAAAAATCCACCCTTGAGCAAACCCTACGAACCCCAAACCAAAAAGACAAGAGATTACATTTACCAGTATTGGGCCGCCGATCGTGATTGCCCCCGAGTATGGCGTTGACGCTAAACTTGAGCTGCGGCTTCTCCTTCTCCTGGATCCTCTTGCACGCGACCCCACCGCTGCACCCCTCGTCCCCGCAGCTGCAGGTCTCCTCGCTGATTCTACCGCCACCGATGCCGTCCAGCCTCTCCCCGTCCTCCAGTTGACTCTGTTGCGCGTAAATTTGGTGCGGCTGGCGCCCAACGAACTCGAACCTCTGCACCAGCGGCCCCCTAACTTCCTCCCGCTCGACCCCCCCGTCCATCTCGTTCCCCGAGTTGCGCTCGTCGTCCATCGAGTTGTTCGAGTCCATCGCCGAGCCCGACCTCGTCTCGATCCTCTCGGACAGCCTCTCCATCGCGCTGAGCCTGTCCAGCGCCGAGCTCCCATCCCCAGTGTTCTCCCCGTTGTTCTCCACAATCACCAAATTCCTGGCCTCGTTGTCCCGGCCGTACAACAGCCTCTCGCAGTCCTCGGCCAGCCTCGACCTCTGCGGTGGGAGGTGCTGCTGGTGGGGGTGATCGGCCGATCTGTGGAGCTGCGCCTTGCCGATCCTGTCGCCGTCCGGCGAGTGTTGGCCGCGGGTGAGGTTCTCCACGGCGGACTCGCGCTCCCGCTGCCGGGCCATGAGACTCGTGGCCCAGCTGAGGGTCAGGCTCGTGAGGTCCGCCCCGGAGGGGGACTTGCTCTGCAGGAGGTTCTCCATGAGGAAGGACGGCGAGGTCATGGCGCTCTGCTGTAGATTCTTCAACATAGCCGCCGACGAGGGAAACATAGCAACGGTCTTTCCCCTTTTTTTTTTTCCCTCCTCCCCTTGACGCACCGTCACTTGTGTGGTCCTTGCGCGTGCCCCTGATTACACGGGAGTCCGACGCAGGGGGGCTCGTTCGGGGGTTGCGCGGTCACTACTTACCGTCAACAACATTTGGTAAGCATAGGTTGTCATCATTGCCTCTAGTTTTCCATGTATGCTTTGCTTCGGCCAAAGTTACATTTGCACCTGTCGAGCGATGTATCACGACCGAGCACCACTCTCGTACATCTTTTTTGTTTACTTCCTTCCACTTATCACTAGGAAAGCCGGAGTTTTACGAAAAAATTCCACCAAACTGTCAGTCGTACCGAGTGAAACGTAAACACGAGCATCACGAGAGTGCCAAACATTTGTTCGTGTTGGTCCCTTTACGGAATCACTCCACTCGAGCACCCCATGGGGGTAAATTTGGCATCAGCGTTTCCACCACTCGCGTGTGTTTTGAAGCAAAAACAAAAACAAAAAAAAACAAAAAAAAAAAAAAAACAAGAAAAGAAAAAAAAATCCACTCTTGAACAGCTCACGTGTCCTCGCGCCCACACTCCACGGTCCTCCGAGCGCAAACGAGCGTCGATGTACCCAAACGCGTTCACGGACAAAAACGCGAGCAGTATATACAAGCACCCGTTTGACTCGCGACGCAAGGCTTGACTGCTGACTCTTGCACCCTACGAGGCGCCCGACACGTGCTCGTGTAGCATACGTGCGCGCGTGTGCGACAGAGGAGTCCTCGAACGACGCTCGGGAGTGGTCGAATCCCGTGGCGCTGCCCTCATCCTGGAGAGACGAGCCGTACCCCCCCACCCCACACCCACCCCCGGCGCCATCGCCAACCTCAGGGGCTGCTGCCCTCCCTTCTCACCCCTCGTTTACTATACGTGTATACATTTGTATACGCAGCACAGCAGCCCGGAGTCTCTCTGTGTACAGACACGGTCCTACTGCGCAGGGGTACGTGTGCTCTCTGATGGCTCTTCCTTGTCGGCAGGGTACGTGTACTATTTAATGTTTTAATGCATCATATCCAACTCTCCGAGGTGGCGTCGATCGTGACGGCGTGTATATGTTACCGTGCTGTGTTGGATGTGCCTTTGACGCAATGATGGGGATATGGGCCGAGGGACAGGTCGACACATATGCGTGTATGAGCATACGTTTGCGCTAACGGGACAGTATTGACGATGGACTCTTTTCTCGTCTGGGTGTTGGTGCTCGGGGGGAAGGGGGGAAAGGGTGGTTTTGTTCGATGGGTCTTCGAAAGCATATTTTGGGTTTCGCGGGTACTTTGCGATACTCGGATACGCCCCAAGTGCTTCTTTGATCCACGCGTCCGATGGATAAATAGATTAGGGGCTGGATAAGTATTCTGGTGGTGAAAAAAGCATGTACAGTGAAAAATATATACTTTATCCAAGATTCGTATAGATGAATAAATGGGGGATGGTACCTATCGGTGAATCAATAAAAGACACGCGACACTTGATCTACAACAGGGTATAGATTAGCCATAAAAATAAATTTGGGCTGACAATTACTTAGTTGGGATTGTGGGTGAACAATGTACACATTGTGGAATAATTACCCAACAATGAAGAGCCATCATGAACAAAAATGACCTTTGCTTTTCAAAAATTGTGTTGCCAAAAGAAGGTTCACTACATAAAAAAAAAAAAAAAAAAAAAAAATCCACCCTTGAGCAAACCCTACGAACCCCAAACCAAAAAGACAAGAGATTACATTTACCAGTATTGGGCCGCCGNTTAAGAACTATAATTGTACCCCCGTCCGAGTAGTAGATAACAATACCATACTCTCGAATTCATTATCATCAAATACGGGCGCGTCTCAGTGTCGCACCTACCCCTACGTACAATAAACCCTACGCGTAAAAAAAAAAAAAAAAAAAAAAAAAACCTCCCCCACAGAAAAGAGGGTCCTTGCAATCTCAGGCGCTTAACTGAAAAGTAATTTTATTCCTTGGCTCTCGCGTCTTTATCCTCATCTCCCTCTCCTCGACTCGATCCTTCTCTCATACACACATATATCCGCGGGGCCTTCAATACATACATAGGTGAGATAATACAGACCGTAAGCGGAGCGATCCCGGGAGCTCTCTGGTTGGCTACATTACCATCCCTCGCTGCCCCTCTATTCCTCCGACCCCAACCACTTTCTCTTCGGTCACTCACACCTACCGGTAATGCTGTAATAAAATCATACTCTCCCATGACTCCCATCAAACGGCGCTGCACATCCCCTTAAAGGAAGCCGACGAAGGAAGGAAAAGAGAAAAGGGTATGTATACCCCCGCTCTCTCTCTCTCTCTCTCTCTCTTCCTCGTCCGCGTATATTATATAGAGCCCCATCAAGGAATAAAAATCGGTGTGTGCCGGAAGAAGGGGAACGGCAAAGTTGGAGGGAGAAGAGCCCCGGGTTGGGGGGAGGGGAGTGGGAAAAAAGGCCGCGCTTTCCAGCTCTGGTGGTGATGGTGCGTGTCCTTCATATACCTACTGCATATCCGAGGGATTCCTTCGGCTTGGAACGATTGGATTTTATTTGACGATGCGGGGCCGCAGTCGGCCAATGGCTGCTCGACCACGCCCCCTTATTCTCGGCTCTCTTCTCTTTACGTTGCATGTGCGCGAGCAAAGGAGTGGGGGGACGAAAGGAGCACTATATATATATGTAGGTATAATATGGGCCGAAAGGGTGCAGTACGGAAGGCGAAGGGGCATCGTGGGACGGGGGCGCCTACACCCTTATCAACTTTATTATCTTCACCGCCGACTATTCTCTCCCTCTCTCTCTCTCTCTCTCTCTTCCTCTTTTGCTCTCTTTAGCCATATACTGTTCCCCTGTCTGTGCTATGGCTAACGTATCTCTATTTAGCTCGCGTTTTTCTTCTCGAGGGTACAAACTGTCTCACTATTCTTATAAATGAGCATAATAACGATAACAATAACAACAACAACAACAACAACAACAACAACAACAACAATAATAATTATTATTATTATAACAATAATGATGATGATGCAGTCCAGATGCAAATGGTAAAAAATGAAGTGAAAAAATGTTTGTCAAAATTTGCTATTACAATGGGATTGTTTTGCACAGTTGTAAAGAAAATATTTCGTAACATAAGGAAGTAAAGGAAAGGTAATTCCCCAACATCGAGTCAAACGAGATAAAGGTCTACACTGCAGAAAGTATCATCCCACAAATCCTATGATATATATAGCCAATGGCAGTCCCAATATCACAAAGGAAATTCATAGGTGAAAACCCTACTACTTTTAGGAGGTAAATCTAATAAGCTCCACCATTGACAATGTCGATTTTAACTACAAAATTGCTTTTCCAATGAAACCCTCTCGTCCCCCAATAATCGTAAAATCTCGGGTACATTTTCGTATTTCTAACCCGCTAAACCAACACAACGACAAGCTCGTAAGCCGAATGCTGGGAAAAAGAGAAAGGAAAACCCTGACGATGAGAATACAATTTCAGAATGCAATTATAAACTTTCAAAAAAAAAAGAAGCAAAGCAATACGCGTACGCAAGTCAGAGTCAAAGAAAAACAAAAAAAAATTATTTAGCCCATAATAGCGGCGCAATTGTGATTATGTGTGCAATAAAAAGAGTTCAACAAGAGAATGGAAGTCTGCAGGTTCAAGGAGCGTCGAGTCGAGGGGTTATGGTGGGGGGGGGGGGGTTGGGGAGGCGATATCCGGGCTCATAAGGAGACTATTTTCCGGGCCGACGGCCAAGTGATTCAAAGCACAATATCCACCCGCCCACTTTAACCCGCTTTTTTTCATCGACCCCCCCCCTAAAGTTTACAACCCCTTCTTTTTTCTGCGAGGTAAAAATTTTTCTCCTTTTTGGTACATTGTATTTCCGTTATACCAGTGCCACGCGCTGATAATGAAATCATGGAGGCTTACCAGCGCACGTTTAAGAGAAGTCGAAACGGGGGATGACGTTCCTTATCAACAATTCATCACAAATGTATAACTGTTGTGTAATCCTTTAAAATCACTTGCTGCACGTTACCGTAATTGTAACACTTTAACGGTACCATTATTTTGAAAAACAATTCTTGTGCCAAGGGGTTGTAACAAGTACAACCAATCAACCCTATTGCACGCAGTTCGGATTTTCCACGTAAAAAAAAACCCCCCATCTCACTGAGCAATACAACATCCTAGCTCAGCTTTTTTGCCGTTCACTAAAAATCCTAACAAACCAAGGCGAATGACCTTTATGAAGTCAAAAATCTACGTCATTTTGGATTGACAACAAGTTCTCACTTATTCCCTCGATGTACACTGATTTTTATAATAAAAATAAAAACCTCGTGTTCCAAGTGACATCGCGTTGTTAGTCAGCCAACCGAGGTCAGTGACTTTGGAAAAACTGAAAAATCTAACTTTCTGTAACTGGCTGTAATTTTCTTATTCACGAAGCGTAAAATGATTTTAGAACATTACAAAACCTCTTGAACTTTGTTAAAACTGTAAGTGCGCCTGTATAATTGTATATACAACGACCACGCCCACTCCGCATCTACTATATGAACTGAAGTGTACGAGGTGGCAACAAATGCTTCGCTATTTGTACTAGTGTTAAGCTTGTACGCCTGTACGCCTAAAGTAATTTTTATTAGTGCCGTGACGTTTCGGCATGTGACGGTCATTGACTGTTCGTTGACAAATCGCCGTTGACAGCTTGTTTAATGGAATATGTGCGTATTCCAAATTGTTTGCATAGACGTAGTATTTACTTCATGAGATTCCACCCCAAGTAGAATAAGAACAAACGTAAGGAAATAAACCGTGTGCTCCTTTATAGAACGTAAAGAAAGTTCAGCATCATCGATTTTCTTCATCGTTAGAGTGGAAAAAATATTTATGTTGCACCAATGGAACCAAAAGGGTTACTCCACTCAACGTCTTGA